GAACGCCTCTAAAGCTTTTTCTCCCTTTTATCCTTCCATCCTTTTAAAAATGATGTTAGAATCATAGAAGCGTGGAATCATTAGGTTGGGAAAAACCTCTAAGATGTTGACTCATAAGTTTGTGATATTGTAACAATGGGGTATTATCATCACATTGTATGTTTGTTGGGTTTTTTTTTTTAATTCTATGGTTGGTTATGTTAGGAATAATGAATAAGCCCTCTTACTGCTATGTTTAATTTTTTTTCCCCTATCTGTCTTGTCAGTATATTTTGCTGAAATAATATACTATTAATTGTCTTAAAGGAGTTAAACACAGTGCATCTGGAGATGTATACCTTACGCTTCGGACATTTTCTAATAACTTTTATTCCCCTAAACCTGCAAATGAATATTGGCCTTCTGTAAAGAGTAGGTTGAGTTATATTCGTGTTATGTACTACCTTACTAGAATCTGGACGTGATTTTTCTTAACTGGAATTCTTTCATTTCCTTAACGCTGATTGGGCCAACTAATTCTAAGCAAGCAGAGCTCGTACCCCATCCATCTTTATCGTAACTGGTAATAAAGAACCCTCTAGGCTTGACATATTGTCATGACAATTATTCTCAAGACATTATATAGCAGTTGTATCTGTCAACCCATACAGTATGGAATATTTTAACTGGCAGTCTTCCAAGAGTGAACATTAATCTTAGCATCTCTTCTCTTACAGTCCCTAATCAAGACATTCCAGGGGTGATTGCACTAACGTTGTTTGAAGACTACATCTACTGGACAGACGGGAAAACCAAGTCGCTCAGCCGTGCCCACAAAACCTCTGGATCAGACAGACTATCACTGATTAACTCATGGCATACCATAACAGACATTCAGGTGTACCATTCTTACAGGCAACCTGATGGTAATTATTCTGTCCATGCTTTCTATGCAGCACACTGATGTATTTCACTTAGTAGCCAGTTGCTGAGTTAATGGAAGCTCATTTATCTGCAGTGATTCATTTTTATTTCTGTTTCGTTTCTAATTGTGGAAGTTTTCAAATTAACATTTTAAAACATAAATCTTTGGTTAATGTTATATGTATACCTGGTGTTAAATAAATGTGATATATATTGTTAAGTTGCATTACAGCACAAGTTACCAGTTACCAAGATGGGAACAGTGTGTTATGAAAACATTAAACATTATTCAAAAAGTAAGAGAGAGTTAAAGTAAGAGAGAGTTAATAATACAGAATACTGTTATTTAGAAACTTGTTGGACTGAGAGAATGTCAGGGAATGTAGGTGTTACAATTGTGTCTGATCTCCTGATGTTCCTGTATTTGAATTGTAACTGAATACAATTTGGCACTTGACCTAGATAAGCTAATTATTTGCGTGTCTCAAACCACCACCACCTCCCCCAAGAACCTAGTGCTTCTTTCTTCCTCTCATTCTTTCAGTATTGAATCTACATCCATAGTACTAATTCATTTTTGCATACAACAGAGAATAGCTTAAAGGCAAAAGGAAAAGGTTGCCTCTTATGGGTTTTTGATTTGAGACGTTCGGTTGCAAAAATAGTATGTGTGATACATTTTTCTTCCTCTATAAAGCAGATACCCCGAAGTACACTGAAATAACAGGCTCTGGTATTCTTTTCCTGTTCCATCCACAGTGTCTAAACATGTGTGTACAGTAAACAATGGTGGTTGCAGTCATTTATGCCTCCTAGCCCCTGACAAGATGTACACTTGTGCCTGTCCCACTAACTTTTACCTTGCTGCGGATAACAAGACGTGCTTATCGAACTGCACTGCCAGTCAGGTAAGTGCATATGCATGGGGGAAGGAGGATTATATTTTACTGTATTTCCACCTGCTTTTAAATAATGATTGCTGGTGCCTATGAAATGTGGAAGCATCCGTCAAAGGAGCCAAAGACTAGGTAACTCGTGGGTACACTTAAAGCATTTCATCTTCAAGGCTATTAGTTGAAAATAGGTTTGCAAATGCCTTTTTTCCAGAGAATGCAGAACTTGTTCCCTTTCAAATGTGACTGTTCCTGCCAGTCATTAGAACAAATACGGCTACTAAACCCATAAAAATTGCTTTGAAAAAACATTTGTATAAAATATGAAACATAAGAATACAAAACGTGTATAACAATAATACGAAGTGTGTATAACAATGATTTGGGAGTATTCATGCATGAATGAACTTTACATTAATACAAGAAAACAAGCTCAGTCCAGTTAGGTAGGTAGGTAAACGATAAGGTTACATTAAAAACAAGCCAGTAGCTGAAATGGGAATGGTAGAATATGCAGTTAATTAACAATTGCATCAATCAAATAATTGAATTCTTTACAGGAGATGGATTTCCTAGTACTTGGAATAAATATTTGGTGATTTTTTTTTCTTAAAATATAAGGTAGATAAAGTAGAACATACTGATTTCTTTAGAAGAGAACTATTTTGATAAAAGTGTTTGGACTGTTCTACCCAGACAATTAATTGGTTGATTGTAGTTGTACGTATGGCCTTTAAAATCTTTGTAGTAGTCCAGCTTTTCTAGTAGTCCGCTTTTATTATATGTATGCTAAGGATCTCTTACAACATTCTACACTGTTGATACATTTTGTCTGTACTCATTAAGGAAAGAGTTTTACTCTAAATTTTTACGGAACAGTGGTCATTTTAATAAATTATGTACGGTTTCATTGAATTAATATTGTTATTTAAGAAACTTTCTGGCTGTCTTCCTCTGTTTCCTTAAGGTAGTGTTTGGTGTGATTTTATTATGTTCATCGAATCTTTTGTGTTTAGATTGTCCGATTGTTACTTCCCATTAAGTGATGAACAAAAAGAGAGTGTAAAAAAATGAGAAATTTCTTACCTATTTTTTCCCCCATAACTAGATTATCAAATTTGTTTGGTTAGAAAAAAAGCATTTTTTTCTTTTTTTTTTTTTTTATTTTTCTTTAAATGGCACTGAAATTTATTTCACAGTGAGTTTATATGCTAATAGCTGATAGAATGGCTTTATTCCTTCCTAAATAATTAGTTGGTAGTCTGAATTGAAGGATAGCATCACATCTTGGATCCTCCAGAAGCAATATTTTATCACTTGTGGATTCCATAGGAGGGAGAGCAGGGTTAAATAGAACCTGTTTCAGACAGACAGTTCCAAATTGACAGTGGTTATTAGTCATTTTCTTCCAATTTTGAAATCTGTTTACTGTTTGATAATTCATCAATCTGGTGGCATCAGATGCAGAGATCAGTGGCAAAAATAGACTTTGCTACTTGAGATTTTCAGATGATGCTGTAAAACCATAGTTGTTCCTATGATGTAATTGCTCTTGGCGACATGCCCAGTGTTAACTATTTCTGTTGAAAAGGAGCTGGATGGCTGATACGCTGGTCTTGTGCACCTACAGGCTTGCAGCTGTGTTTTGATGGCTTACCTGATGTGAGAAGCTGTCTAGTGCAAAATGCATCAGACTCTAGAACACCAACACTCAGGCCATCGCAGGCCGTTCCAGGCACTCCCTCATGACTGACCCCTGATCTTGCGAAGTGTCTGGCTCCCCAGTTTAGAAGGGAATGCAAGCATTTTCATGCAGAGCATAACAGCACCTAAGAGTTAGTACCCATTTCTTGGAATTAAATTCAGGATGTTAACAGCCCTTTGTGGTGAGCAAGGCAGGGCTGGCACCTTAAAAGAATTAAGCAGCAGGAAGGCTATGCTAGCAAGTAGAAAATACTAAGAATGAGAATTGTCAGTGTTTCTCTTTGTATTCCACATTTGGAAGCCTTCTGCTGAGCCACTCTGAGATGCATGCCTTTGTGGAACAGTTTAACAGTTTAGAAGAGCTGCTTTTCAAACGCAGCCTGTTGTGCAGCGTGTCCCTCAATATGGTACAAGAATCATGCCGCTCCAACTATAGGTCCTACTACACAAATGGCCATGAAACCCTAAAGGGTCTTGGCAGAAAAGATTAAACTGAGCTAATGCACCAGACTTAATACACCTTTGAAATGCAGCTTTATTGAATAAACAATTATTTCAAAAATGTGAAGAAATGAAGAAATTATGCCTGGACACAGAAAATAAGATTCCTTGCGCTTCTAAACCCGTTGATTTCCTTCCTTTCTGTGCTCACACAGCCGCCAGGTAGGAAACACAACATTTCTTAAGTTTCTGGTAATCTATCCAGATTTTTCACCCTAGCATTAGCCACATAATGAACTCTGATTTTAGGTTTAGCCCTAGAAGATTGCACCACGTAATTTCTACTCTTGCATTCCTCTCTCAGAACAAAGGTACAGTGTTGCCTGAGCTCTGAGTAAAGGCATTGCCAAGGTTTTACAAAGGATTTTTCTTTTATAGTACAAACATTTTATCCGTCTGAAAGGTTGGAAGGCCCAATTTCTGCTTTTCTCATTTAATTCAAACATTGTAAGCAATACTGTATACAAGTACAACAGTTAAGGCCTTTTCCTGTAGCTGTGGGTGTTTTGGTTTATCTGGAAAAAAGATACTAAGTCCGCTTCAAGCCTAGAAACACTGTTTAAGAATTAAAGTGGTTGTTTTGAATAAGATCTTGAAGAATGAAATCATAGAATGCAGCGGTTTATATCAGGGGCACTGTAAGTCAGTGTTGTAGCAATGTCATTGAAACTACAATGCGTCGTATCAGTGGAAGTTTCAGTGCAAAACAGCTCCAAAACAAAAGGAATATTTAAAAAATAGGTTTTATAAAATTAACAGCCAGAGTTGATTAATGGAACAATGACTTAAGCAATTTATCTAATTTTTCATAAACTGTACTGTTTCTGTATAAATAAATAAATATTCATATCAAAGCTGTTCTTCCTTCTTTCTTTGTCTTTACAGTTCCGCTGCAAAACTGACAAATGTATTCCATTTTGGTGGAAATGTGACACTGTTGATGACTGTGGAGATGGGTCTGATGAGGTTTTGGAATGCCGTAAGTGCTTTCTGAATTTGGAACCCAGCTTTGTCAGTAGGGTCTCAATCAAATATAATGCTTTAGAGAGGCTAGGAAGAGGATTTTTTTGAATGCTTTTGTTTGCAGCACTGTTTTCTTTTCCTTGGTCTCTGTCAAATTTACAAAAGGCGCAGGCTCTTCTTTGTCAGTTAACTCTTGTCTACTAACAGTCTTTGGAAAATCAAAAGAACGTGTTTTAAACCTTTACTTCATCCCTTTTATGTTTTTGCTAGCAAGTTTTAGTTTAAAGCTACATTCTTACTGATTTTTATAAAGAAATACAAAATTCTGGCAGGTTTATTTGGTTTAATCTGCAGATAACAGAAATGTTGAGTTCTAATCTCATTTGCTTATGTTTCATCGCAGTTATACAAGTTTAGCTACAATTAATTAGTGCAGTTTTATGAACAGCACCGTTCTCCATGTGCTTCCTACTAAGACTCTGTGCATTTTTCACAGTATGTTTTATATAAATATTTTCATTTTCCAGTTTTAAAAATATTATCAAAAGGAAATTTGGAGACTAAATTTCACCCCTCCAGTATGAACAATTTTATGCAATGACCATTTTTCATGTGTTCTGTGTAACTTTGACACACTGTCCTGAAGGTGGTGCAGATACAGCATATTTCTCGGTAGCCTCTCATATTCCTGATAGGAGGTTACTGTGGTATTCCCCTGTTGAACTGTAGGCAACTGGAAGACAATGATGATGATATTTTCAGCATCCCAAAGGATGGTTGCTGTGATGGTAGCTGATGCAAGTTTACTTGTTAGAAAAGTACCTTTCTAACTGAATTCACAAAGAGTAGTATCTGTTAATGATGCTATTTGTCAGTCCCAGTCACTGACTACTTTAGTGCTATTATATTAATGTACATAAATAAAAAGATCCTTGCCTTCTTTCCTTAAGCTCATATACACAGAATGCTTTACTATGTGTTCTGAAATCTTCTAGTTAAGTAACAGTTGATTTGATTTTTTGTATTGAAATCTCTCACCCACATTTGTACGATTTTATAATTGTTCTCTCTTTTTACTGCGGAGGCCTTTGAAGCAAGCTTTAATATATGTAATCATTCTACATGAGATTACAGTTTAAGCTACACTATGTTTATATAAAATATTACTATAGAGGTACATAATTGCTCATTCATTCAAATGGCAGTGGCTGTGAGAAGGAACAATGTTAGACCTTTCACGGGAAATAGAATTAGATACTGAGTTTCTTAAATGCAGACTTGAACTCAAGTGTTTTGACCCTAAATTGCAAGTCTCTGTTGAGCTAATAGTAAGCAGCAACATGTAGAGGGTTGCGCTCTGTTTCATTAGTAAGGTATAACTATAATTACACAAATTTAAAATCTCAGACTTTAATTTTGCAATAGTATGTGTACATTTTAGTGACTAATATGTACTCAGATCAAGATTATATGGGGAAAGGTTTATAAATTCTTCTTGTTTAAAACCAGTCCATAGAGGAAAAGCACCACTGTTGATACTTTAACCACTCCTCTGATAGTATTCATAAGTTCTCTTTTTTTCCCAGCTGAATTCAGATGTCAGCCAGGACGTTTTCAGTGCGGAACCGGACTTTGTGCTCTTCCAGCCTTTATCTGTGATGGAGAGAATGATTGTGGGGACAATTCTGATGAACTGAACTGTGGTAGGTGATTATGTACAGTGTAGTTTCAGAAGCATGCTCAACTGATTTAAATGCTGTGCTTTAAATTCTTTCCAGAAACTCTGGGTTTATTCTTTTACCTTTTAATTTTCAAATCTTTTAATCTTTAACTTTTAATCTTTTTAACTTGATATCTTTATTCTTTTAATTTGCAGACACACATGTGTGTCTGTCAGGTCAGTTCAAGTGCACAAAGAATCAGAAGTGTATTCCAATAAATCTGAGATGCAATGGACAGGATGATTGTGGCGATGAAGAAGATGAAAGAGACTGTCGTAAGTGATGTTTAGAGAATTTTGATGTGACAAATGTAGCTGGTTTTAAACAAGGAACTGAAGTAAAAAATGTAAAATACTGTAAATGTTCTCTATGTAAAATAATTTGAGGAACATGCAAACCAGTTAATTCATGGGATTGATTGATGTACAATGAGTCATATACAAGAGAACAAACTAAAATGTCATTTTTTACTTGATATTTTTTAGTCATTGCAAAGAAGCGGGCTGTATAAACAATTAATTTCAAGCATTTAATTGGGTTTCTGAGTTACTGAAACATCCATTTTGCTCTTAACCACCTCAGAAATGGCTCATCTTCTTCAGGCTTTCATCTGCCATGCCTTGCAGCAGCACATTTCAGTGGAAAAAGATATTTTTCTGCATCTTTTATTGAAAAAGATGTAGATCCATAGCTCCTTCTACATCCTTTTTCTTTGATGGGAGTTTTCTACCTTTTCTGTTCCCTTTCGTCTGGGGACTTCTCTGTTAATTTGTCTATGTAACTTGATTTCTATTTACTCAGCTTTTAATGCATCTTTGTATAAATTCATTTTCCTTCCATATTTCTTGGATAAAAGTAAGAGAAAATATTTTCGGATTTAGAATGGAAATGTATTGAATAGCTTGTGTCTTTGATCATTTTGTAATTAAAATTATGGCGCTGTCTTGAAAGACATCTCTGTCCTTCACTCAAATCATTATTCAAATCTACTGCTGATCGGAGATGCTTATTCCTATTTTCTGAATTAGCTTTCTCAAGGTTTGCATACGCTGCATTTTTGCAAAGCACGTGGCCTGCTCCAAGGGAAGGGTTGCTAAGGATACAAAGGCTTTGCTGATGGTCATGTTTAATGGCCGTCTTCGAAACAGCTCGGCAGAGCTGTAGTCTCTGGCAGACAGGATTACACGTTGGTTTGCATGTTACGTTTCTTTGAAAACTGATTAAGTGGGGTCAGGTAAACTCCTGTGGAAGATGGGTGAGAGTGCTTTTTTTGTTACGAAGAACTGCACATGGTATATGGAAGGTTCCCAAAACCTTGAGGTGTAGCTGACAGAAATGAAATCAGAGCAGCAGAGTCTGCAGCACAGCAGTGCTCAGGGACTGTGGGAGGGATAGGGTCAGGATCAGCCGTGATGGAGTTGAAAACTTCCTAGGGATTAGTGGGAATAGGACAGTCTGCTGTGACATAAAGCAAGCCTTTTCAGTTGTCTGAAACTCAGCCATCAACCCACCTGCAAAGACACAGTGGGGAGCGGGGGAGGTTAATTATATACGGGTTTTTTATTTCTGTTCTGTCTTACCTAGACTTTATTAGCTTCTGTTCTAAGAAAGTTAAGTGTGCTAGTTTGTATTTTAATAAAACTTCACTTATGGCTTCTGAAGACTCCTCAGTTGCCTCTGGGGAGATTACAAAAAGGGGAGGTTTTAAGTAGGTCTACTATATTGGCTTGGGCTTCTGTCACAGGAGAGATAATAGATGAGATTATCTATTTCATTCTGATTTCACTGGACTAGGATTCATAAAATACAGACCTTCTTTGAGCTTTACCACTGTTTCATTTTATATATCAAGTGACCTTGAAAAAGTTGCATTTCTTACTTAAGGCTTTTCATATGTAAAATGGAGGTAATTATGTTTGTCTTCCTTGTAAAGCACTTTGAAATCCCCTGGTGAGGTGTCCTAGCTGAGAATCAGTGTTATTTTTTATAAGTATAGTTAGCAGCATAGCCAGGTCTAAATGCTTTTTAATTCCAGCACTGTAAATTTATGTATAGCTACGTGACACTAAAACAAATAATACACCAACTTTTAACAAACCTAAAATCCTGCCAAACCCAAGAAACAAGAATGATAGTATCAAGGAGCACATTGCTTTTCAATAGGGACAGGCAAGTTTGTTAACAACCTTACAGAGTGCTCTGGGTAAAAGTGGGACAAACATTCACATGGGAGAACATTATCAGAGAATAGAACATACTGTTTTCCATCTATCTTCAGTTTAGAACAATTTGGAGGTTCTCGTACATATGCTTATCTCTAAAGAAATCCTTATGCATATGGTCACAAATGAGTTGCTCACAGTCCAGTCCAGAAATATGTCCTTTTTTCATCTTGCCTCTATATTCTGAGTTATAATGGTTTAAGAAATAGTGAGACCTGGCGTACATGCTGGTGAGGGAGTCAATCTAGAATCACATGAGTGCACTGAGGATCTTTGATGTTGTCAAGTGGCAGTTGCTTAACTGCTTTAACTTAGAGCATCCTGGAAGAATAGGATGGTTAGCTGCAGCGTTGCATCTTTAGCTTGCTGTAGGATTCATTCAAAAAATTGTTGTGCTAAACTGGTAAAGTCAAACAATTGTCAAAACTATTCTCAGCGTTCACCCATGGCCTCTTCTAACAGGGAGCACAGGTTTTCACCAAAATTAGACATAATTTTTATTACCTTTTCGATCAAAGCATTGAGAGCTGCCTTAGTCCTTCAAACTGACTTTCAGAATTGGTAACCGGTATTTAAGAAGTTAGGAAAAAAAAAATCTGACTGCTTTTTACTAAAGTGTTTTGATTGTATCAATGTCAAGTGTATTTGTTTTTAAAATAATATCACAGTAGACACTTTATTGAATTTGTTTGACTTTGCTGTTATACATAATGTATAAAAAGAAGACAAAATTATACACAATATAAACCTGAATGCTATTCTCTTACAGATGTTAAGTGATGCTAGAGGTATCCAATTTTTAAATTTTGAATCCTTTTTTTTTTTTCTTTAAAACAAATATATTGAATATCAGCAGAAATTTCTATTTTTAATTTGGAATCCTTTTATTTAAAGCTGAAAACAGTTGTTCTCCAGACCATTTCCAGTGTAAAACAACAAAACACTGCATTTCTAAACTGTGGGTATGTGACGAAGACCCAGATTGTGCTGATGGATCAGACGAAGCTAACTGTGGTGAGTATGCTGGTGGCTTTGAATATAGCTTGACATTTTTGAAAAAAGTATCAAAAGGAAATAATCATCCCACTTAATATATCCTCTTTCAATGCATGATAATACCTATCTGATATGATAGCTGTATCTGGCTCATACAGTTCTTACTGAATGGGAATCTTTATATGAGTAGTCTATAAACGTATTATACTACTACTTTATTGGCAGGAGCTGTAAATGAGTATCTCATTTGGAATATAGCGACATTCTTGATTTTTCTTAGTGTTAGCCAGTTTCTGTCATTTTATTCTGCATACTTTGTTGCTGCTGAAGTTCATAGTGAAAAATGTAATAATTTGCAAATCATGTTGGTTAAGACTGGCTGTGCAGAAGGGTCCGGATTCCAACTGGGCAGGACCAACTTTTGCTTCTCTCTGTGAGCTCCAGGGAGTTATGTGCCTTGACACACCACTCCACCAAATTTGCATCTCCATATGACTTCTCAAGAACCCATGAAACTTATGTACTTAAATTTGATAGTTTGAGGCGGCAGATACTCTACAAAGAATATCAAGGATAGAACTGCACCATTGCCAAACCGAGCCCAAGTTTCTGTCAGATTTTACACAATATACTGAACCACAGTGTTCTATGCCACTGAGGCAGATTTTTCTAGAGCATAACTACTAGCTTTGAATCCAAGAATTTCTTTTATTGCTTTTTTGAAGATTCATTGTTGGATCACATATATAACTCTACAGATTTTATCATGTTTCTCATTGACAGATAAGCTGAATTTATTATATTTCTGCAGAAACAGTTCAAATTATTAAGACAATACTGATAGGAAGTTGAAAATCTAAGTAATTTTCACAATGGTCTGTACATGATCACACTGTATAGTAGAAGAAGTAGCTGTTCTCAGTCATTGCTTGCGTTGTTGGAAAGAACTGAGTCAACTCTTGTTGTAAATGAAAGGAAATGGTAAGTATTCATTAATCAGAGTCAGATTAAGTGGATCAGTATTGTTTGAAAATCGCTGAACGTGGATGTCAATGCAAGACGCACTCTCACCCAGTGCAGAAAAACTTGTGGAAATTTCAAAACAGGTCTATAGACGAAAAGATGGAAAAATCTTCCGAGATGGAAGAGAACAAGAAAAACAATTGTACAGAACATTCAGTGCTCTTGCTAGTATTCATCCATGCATCAATAACTGGTTTGATGAAACACGTGAGTCTGGACAGTTTATGCTACCTCTGAGACAACAGAGTAACAAAATTACAGGCTGTAATCAAGGACAAAGCATTGAGAGACAGACAGACTTCCATGGATATGTTTTAAGCAAATGACACAAGCACATATATGAAAATACTGGAGGTGGTAAATATGCCTGGGAAACTGAACTCTTCTTCAACACTGAAAATCCAAGACCATTGTTTGAATTGTCAAGAAGGGGAAGCTAATGAATCATACAACTGGAGAGAAGTTGCAGTCAAGAAATCATTTGGCTTGAAGAAACAGTGAATGCAAAGGAGATGAACCTTTGCCATAGAGAGTCTTTATACCCTCTTGTGGGCTATCGCAGAGCTACCCCTGCACTGCTCACCTTCTGATCCACTCCACAGGTGTTTTCTCCTGCACTGTCCCCCATCACCTTGATCTCCAACACAACGTTTCTTTCCGATTCAGACAGCATTCCAAGCTTCCCAGCTGTGCATTCCCATTTCGAGCAATCCATGAAAGCCCAACTGATATGGCACAAAGGGTCTTAAAATAATTAATCTAATATCCTCAAGACACAAAGTTTAAAACTGAAGAGGAAAAACCCCCAAAACTAACGCTAAACAGGAAAAATTGTATTTATAATAGGTGCTTCACTGTGATTCATCATTTTAGCCAATATCTAAGACTCATCTTGCCATTTATTCTATCTCTGGCAGTGACTGAAAACTAGTAATCTAGGAAAGAATATGTGAGCAAAGCAGGCCTGTATTGAAACTTCCCTGGGATACTCTTCCAGCCTCTAACAATTTGAGAAGCAGAGATACTGTGAGTCAAGTATGTCTCTGTATGCAATAAGCCTTGATGGATTTCGGTCTCTCTTAGCCTTTGTAAAGCTTTCACAACATGCTGCAAGGAGGAGTGCCACAGCTGAATTACGCACCTCCCTGGAAAACCACCTACACTTTGAATTTAATTCTGCCAGCTGCATATGATGCTCTTAGTTTTTGTGTTGGAGAAGACAGAACAATTTATCCATATTCACAATCTCTGTGCCACACACAGTTATGTACACATCGAACAACTAAGCCTTGTTAAGAACACAAGAAATGTGTTTAATCACATTTTAAGTTTTCCATACTTATAGCTTTTGAAATATGTTTAAATAATCTTATTAGAGTAGTTTTAACACTGTTCGATCTTCTGTGTTGGTTTTTTTTTTTTAAATTTAAAGATGGTTTATTTTTGTGAGCTTGATAGAAATAAATTCTAAAGCTGCAAGCTGAGTATAATAAAGATCTGCATATGTTGATGCTAATACTAACTTATTATCGTTTATAGTTCATTTCCAAAATGCTTACAATGCGAAACTTGTATAAAGGGAAATCTTTTTCTTAAGTGCTGCATGGTCATATGTATTTTGCTCATTCAACATCTGCTACTGTGTGTTATTGGAGATATTATATTGAGTAAATTTATTAGAAGTAGTCTGAATGTATTAAGTCTTCAGTGGTTACTTTCTTGAAGTAGAATTAGGAAATGTAGGTTTAATAATGAGTGTATGGTGTTTTTCAAAGAACAGTAGGTAGAGTTAATTCATGCTTTCTGTCCAGGCAATTAAAAGAAGCCATTAGATTATGGTAATCCTTGCTTAAAACTTTAATACCTTACATCAAAAAAAAAAAGCCCTTTTTGAGTTAGAGTCTGAAGAAAGTTGTGTGTGGCCTTGGAAAGTGATTATAATCTTCTTTAAAAGTTATAAGTACTTCAGGTCTTTATTAGCATAATGTGTCAACATTAATATGGCTGCTTTCTGCTTCCTCACTTTTTCAATATTAATTTTATTTTGAGCCTAAAATGTCAACGTTTTTTTTTTTCTTATGATGATGACAAATATGTTCTTTGAGACATTTGAAGGATGCGTTATATAAACTTAAACTTAGTTCAACAGGCTTTTAATTTCCTGTATCCAGCATCAGTGACAGCCTGCCAAGCTCTGGAACAGCTAGCTGATCCGTGATCAAAAGCGAGTTTCTTCTCATTTTGGATTTTATCCCTCTCAGGCACACACATGCACACATGTGCACATATATAGAATTAAATTGCCAAAATGGTAATGTAGTGCAATTAGTGACAAATTAGTGCTTTAATTTATAGGGATTGATATTTGACTCAAAATGCTTTTGCAGTGCACATGTAATATTTTGGGGGTTGGGTTGGTTTGTTTTCCATATAAGCCTCCATCCTATTTTCGTCATGCTCATTTAGAATTCTTTCTAAAATAAAATCCTAGGTCGGTGTGCACAAAAGACGAACGCCATCCAACCAGCCGCTACTTCAGGCGGTCACACAAACTTCTGAGAAGGGGCCTTTGCCTGTTGCAGTAGTTCAATAAACCTCTTCGTAATAATTTGAAGAGAGGAATATGAACATTGAGTTACCAGTACTTTCTTTGCCTTTGTACAATTCCTATCTGAACTTTCACATTTTAAGGTGGTCTCATTTTAAGAAAAATGGAAAACAATGTAGTGTGGAAGACACACAAAATGCGTGTGGGCCCATGTGTGCTTCTCAGGGTACCACAATTCAGAAAAATGTCTTGCGCAATTTCCTTCGAGTTGAGTACATCAGTCTTTCTCAAAGATCAGATTACACAGCTTTCCCAAATCTTCCCCTTTCTTGTATCTGAGTTCTAGTATCCTAGTGTTTTCATGGAGACTCATTAACATGAAGAAGGAAATACAAGACAAGGAATTCTGGTTTATAAGACATTGTCAAGTGTAAGCTACTATGAGAGTTCAGTCAAGGCAAAGAAAGAATAAAGCTTTGAGATTTGTGAAGTGAAGAAGAGAGCCTTACAAAAATGCAATGTATTTTGCATTTAAAAAACCCTAAATATTCTATTATGTTAGTAAAAATAAAGTAAGAAAATAAAGATTGATATTCAAGTGGTAATTATAAGGTTAGACTACACTTGGATAAATTAAAAATAAATTCAGGCTTTCCTCACAATGGTAAAGAAAATGGATTTAGCATCCTCAACAACTAGATAATTCTTTATGAAGAAAAAGAAAAGATATATTGCATGTTCTCTTCGTCCTAGCAGGTGACTGAAATGAAGGGATGTCATCTCTGGCTTCTGTGTATTACTGATTAGATCGTGGTATTTCTATTGAATGTCGAAGGATAAATACAATGCAATCTGTCATTAGTCTCTAGGAGTCATTTTGTGGGCAGACATGTTAACGGCAGAGTGTGGACTTTGCTAGGAGTGCTTTAATAAACATAGAATGGATTTCTGGCTTGAAACTTGATCTTTTGCAAAGCTACAGAAACAAAATACAAGAGTCTCTTATTTTCAGGGGAGAATATTTTTATATTTTGTAATGTTAAATATTTAAGTGCTTACCAGTGCAAGTATTCGTACTGTCATGACTGAAATGTCATAGACTGTCATGTTGAGAAACACCACAGGGAAAAGTATTTTGGAAGAAAACTGCTTACAGTCACGATATTATCAGAGAATAAGGAACGACTGCAAAAGGTAGTGTTGTGATTATAAAATTTTTGAGTGTACCCAACTGAGCTGCAACACCATTTACCGCCACCTTCTTGATATTCGAACGTAGTTTTGATTTATCACTCTAGTTCCAGAAACACACCTAGAACAAAGCACAAAAAGAAGTAGTTCAGGCTCTAGCATCAAATCTAATACCTGTAATTTGTGATCCTTTCCATTTCACAGACAGAGAAAGCAGATTGATTTAAACTAGTGTTTCAGTCCTCCTTGATTCTGTCAGTCATTAGAACTCATTGAGTTCTAATAGCCTATGGAAATTTTGAAAATTTCTATTGAAATATTAGTGACATGTAATTTTAAATATGTCATTGAGGCTTCTACAAAGCAAACATTTTTTTTCCAAAGAAAATGTCATCAATAACTTTTTAATTTACTTCAATTCGTCTCAGTCCTTAGCACCTTAATTTCTGGAGAAATAAAAAATATAAATAAAAGACAGAAGCAGCTCCTTTCTGCTGGAGGAGTTCAGGATGTTCATGCATCTGCAAGAAGCTTTGCCTACAATGCTACTCTGTAATCAGGAAAGCTCACTAAAAATTTACTGCAGGAAGAAAATTAATCTCAGCTTAGCGTTATATGCTTTATAATGTTTTACTTTGTATAAGTAGACTTCCAATCCAAGACATCAGAAGGTGAAAATGTAAATCAAAATATAAAGTTTTCTGTCAGGTATGAGTAGTCTTTAATTATTATGTGCAAACATAACTTTTGCAAAATATATATTTAGTATACTTTCAAATAAATATTGTGGTTTACTGTGACCTGATCTTTGGTAGAGCAGCCTTACAGATAAATTCCAGGAAAAGTCAATGCAGTTTTTGAGACTCAGTGCAATAATACCCTCTCTTCAAACTAATGTGTGACCACTTCTGAATTTCCTGGGGTTTACTTTAAGCTACAGTGTAAACAGTCCATATTTTAATTTTATTATCAAATTTATGAGCATCTCTCTTTTGGTATGAATGAGTAAATAGGATCTTAAAGAATGTGGTATGAGTAGTAATTTATTTCTGCGAGTAACATTTCAAGTATTATGGTTGCTCACTCTTAAATGTATCTAGTAATATTCTCATGTCACTGTTTAGTAGCAGTCTTTCCCATTTTGACTCTTTGTCTGCAATGATGTAAATGATACTCATCTTAATTGCAGATAAAAAAACTTGTGGGCCTCATGAATTCCAGTGCAAGAACAACAACTGTATTCCAGATCATTGGAGATGTGACAGCCAAAATGATTGTGGTGATAATTCTGATGAAGAAAACTGTAGTAAGTAACTTTTACCTAAGTACACATTATAAGGAATGGAGTCAGTTTAGCAACATGTTAGAGTAAACTTTTCAGTTTTGATAAACTGCACGTGTATGATTTTATGCAACGACATCTGATCTGTTGAAAATCAGTTGACCAGAACCGAAAATGTCCCTTGCTGAAATTCTCAATGTTATTCATTCTTATAAAGAGCTGTAACTCTGTATCAGCTATGCAAAAATGCCCAGCCCGTGACTTCTCAATAATTTGGTCAGTTCAAAATAAATACTACAATCAGTTTACCTTTGTCAGTAAGTTACATATCACATTTCTTATCTCTAAATAAGAATCATAAAAGCTGCTCTATGGTAATGCGATAAACATTTGTTAACATTAAGGTTTGATCAAACACTACCTACCCATTACATTCATTATATTCCTGAGATTATTTGCCTTGTTTTGTATGGTAAGAAGTCCAGTTCTATAATATTTAATCACATTAATAAGTAGATAACGTTATTCAAAGTAACTCAGCATAGTTCTCTGCTACCTGTGAGGAATGCCTAAGAAATCTCTGTAATACCACTTTCAGTGAGTTGACTTTGATCTGATTTTCGGGAAGAAATGACAAGTTCTTAATGGTTTTCCCTGATAATCATTGCCTTTATAAAATATTTCAAGAAGGAAATTCTTCAAATAGTTCTGAAGTGCCTTCTCTTCAGTTGACAGTTTATGTTTCTCTTTTTCTTCTGAAATCCAAGAAATTAATATCTTGTTCTGTAGATAATCTTGAATACATATTCCTGATTGTATATCATGAATGTATATTTAGTATCTTCAAGGCAACGACCTAGAAATCTTAATAAATTAGGTGTTCTAATGCTGAGTACATGCTCTCTGCCCCTTTCTCCAGTCTGAGACATGGTGTCCATAGGTACATGTAGTTGGCTGAAGACTGGCTTATTTTGCTTGAGAGGTTAAAGTGGATATGTCTGCCATCTGTTTACTATCTGCATTTGAAAATGTTGTGAGTTTCTGTAAGCAGTAGAGCTGTAGCTTTCGTATGCAAGTGTTTTATCTAAAGGGGAAAATGTCATGTGGCTCAGTAATCACTCAGAGCCGATTATTGTTATACTCTGGGGGCGAGGGAGTGACACACAAAAGCTTTCTTAATTTCATCGGAGATTTTACGTAGAAAACGATTCTTAATGGTAGTGGGATTTTTTCCATTTTCATTAACATTATAAATATCAAGAGATTATTTTATGTTCTTTTATTCTCATGTAAAAATCAAATAGAGACATAGTTTTGCTATAGTGGTGTTAATCTACAATGACTAGATAATCTTTGGAAAATTAGAAAGTTTAAAAATCCCCAACTCCCACAAACATTATGTCTTTTCGCAAAATAAGTATCAAGTGTCTTATTTGAAATTTGCCGTGTGGGAAGTGGGATTTATTTATCCCCTAGCGTTAATAATTTTCTTCCTTAAAGTTTCGATTTTCATAGTACAAAGTGATTTATTTAAAAAAAAAAAAAAAAAGTCAAATAATGAGGGAGCAATCATCTGTCCAGTTGGGTTTTTAAAATATTTATTAAGCTTGCCATCTTTGTGTTCACATCAATAATGAAGTTCTATATTCAGTTCTTGACTGTTCTCTAGACTTGCAGATAAAGAAATCTGTAGTTGATTGTCATAGATGGAGTAAGTGAGTTGAGAGTACCCAGACACAGCCAGTGCCTCGGACTAGAGGCCGGTGTGGTGAGCTGTAGTTTGTGTTAGCTTTTTCTTCATTTTCTTTTGCTTGTCAAATGAATATTTCACTTCTAACTGTTGAATCCCATATTCTGTTGTTTAAGTTGAATACAGTAGGCTGATACAGTAAAATTCAAAGTCTTGGAAGCTTTGGGAAAATACATAATACTGTTCGGTTGTTTGAAATAGATGTATAAAATTATTCATAGGCTCTCAAGCCACTTATAGAATAAAGTGTAGTGAAACAAATATATATGAAAATAGAACTTCAAAAGCATTTGACAAACTATATTACATTGCACATTACAGTAAGTTGTTCATAGCATACATGAATATACAAAGGGGTTTGTCAGGCAACTCTGTCAGAAAATGAGTCGTTTCTCAAGAATGAGAGTGAATTCATTGAATTACAGAAAATCAGCTGAAGTATTTGCATTTCTCAGTATAGTTCCTTCGCATGCACACACAGCATCCCGGTGAAGTTATCAGGTGTGAAACAGAATGCATGTTGAAAGAATCACATATGAGGGTGAAAAATTATTAGTGGTATAATGCAAATAGTTGTGCCTGTTATGACTTTGTTATTTAACTGTATTTGTCCTAAAGTCTGTGGTCCTTTACCTATATTTGGACCCTCCCAAATAAGTAGGAGTTGTTAGGAATGTATAGGTCCAGAGGAGTTAGCACTAAGCAAAGTAGAATGTGTTTTTAAATCTTCTGAGTTAATATCTTTTTGGAGCGGGAGTTTGCTTTCAGAGTTTATTTGGACTTTTAAAAACAAATTAGAGCAAAACCAGTGTTTTCTCTTTCAGGGAACTCCAAAAAA